TGAATGGGGTTGGACTTTGTCAAATGCTTTTGCCACATCTATTGGTATGATCATGTAATTCTTCAGCCTGTTGATGTGATGGATTTCATTAATCAACGTTCAAATGTTAAACCCAGCTTACATACCTAGAATAAATCCTATTTGGTCACAGTATATAATGCTTCTTATACATTATTGAATTCAGTTTGTAAATATTTTGTTGAGGATTTTTGCACCTATGTTTATGAGAAATACTGGTGTGTTGTTTTCTTTTGCTTGTGATGTCTTTATCAGGTTTTGGAATTAGGATAATGCTAGCCTCATAGAATGAATTAGGGAGTGATTTTGCTGCTTCTATTTTCTGGAAGAGGTTGTAGAGAATTGGTATCATTTCTTTCTATTGCTTTTCTCTTTTTAATTTCATTGAATTTGTTTTTAATTTTTATTATTTCTTTCTTTTTGCTCACTTTGAATTTAATATGCTTTTTTCTGCTTTTCTAAGGTGAGTTTATGTTATTGATTTTAGATTTTTTTTCTTTCCTAATATATGCATTAAATGCTATAAATGTCCCTGTAAGCACTGAGTTCACTGTATCCTACAAATTTGGTAAGCTATATTTTCATTTTCATTTAATTCAACATATTTTATAATCTTTTATATATATATAATTATTATATATATTTTTTTTTGAGACAGAGTCTCGGCTCGTGCCTTGGCTAGAGTTGCCTGGCATCAGCCTAGCTCACAGCAACCCAAACTCCTGGCAGCAGATCCTTCTGCCTCAGCTCCAGTAGTGGGACTAGGCAGCACCACATGCACTATCTATATATTTTTGGCCAATCAATTTCTTTCGTATTTTAGTAAAGATGGGTCTCGTCTGCAGGCTGGGTCTTGAACTCGCTGACCTCGAGCGATCCTCCCGCTTCAACCTCCCAGAGTGCTAGGATTATAGGTGTAAGCCACCTCGCCTGGCCTAATTCAACATATTTTTAAATTTCTCTTGAGACTCCTTCTTTGACTTATGTGTTATTTAATCTTCAAATATTTTGGGATTTTCTAGCAATCTTATTGTTACTGATTTTTAGTTTAATTCCATTGTGGGCTTATAGAAAAATTTATATTGTATCTATTCTTTTAAATTTGTTAAGGTATATTTTAGGGCCCAGAATGTGGTCTATCTTGGTAAATATCTCCTGTGAGCTTGAAAGAATGTGTATTCTCCTTTGGATGAAGTACTCTGTAAATATCAATTAGATCTAGTTTATTCAGGGTGTTGTTCAGTTCGACTACATCCTTACTGATTTTCTGCCTATTTTTTCTGGCAATTCCAAAAAGGTGGGTGTTGACGTCTCCAGCTATAATAGTGGATTTGTCTATTTCTCTTCGTAGTTCCATTAGTTTTCACCTTACATACCTTGACACCCTGTGGTTAGGTGCACATGAATCCAGGATTGTTATGCCTTCTTGGAAGACTGACCCCTTTATCATTATGTAATGCCCCCCTCTCTCTCTCTAATAATATACCTTGGTCTGAAATCTGCTTTGTTTGAAATTAATATAGGTATTCCAGCTTGCTTTTGATTAATGCTAGCATGATATCTTTCTCCATCCTTGTACTACTTCGCTTTACACAGATTGTTATCTGCGTGTTTATATTTAAATGTGTTTCCCACAGACAACATATAGTTAGATCTTTTTTTTTCATCCACTCTGACAGTTTCTGTCTTTTAATTGACATATTTAGACTATTCACATTTAAAGTGATTATTGATACAGCTGGATTAATATCTACCATATTTGTAACTTTCTATTTGCCCTTATTCTTTTTCTTTGTTTGTTTGTTTTCCACTCTTTTCTGCTTTGTCTGATTTTAATTGTACATTTTATATAATTCCATTTACTCTTCTCTCCTAGCATATCAATTATAGTTCTTTTAAAGAATTTTAGAGGTTGCTGTAGAGTTTGGAATATCCCTTTACAACTAATCTAAATCCACTTTCAAATCACATTGTAACTCTTCATGGGTAGCGTAGGTACTCTATAACAAAATATTCCTAATTCCTCCGTCCTGTCCTTCATAGCATTTCTGCCATTAACTTGACTTCTACATAAGCTATAATCACCATACAATGTTCTTAGCGTTGCTTAAAATAGTTATCTGGTAGATCAATTAAGTATAAGAAAAATAAAAAGTTTTATTTTACTTTCATTTATTTCTTCTCTAACATGCTTTTTTAAATTATGAAAATCCAAGTTTCTGCCCTACATTATTTTTCTTCTCATTGAAGAACTTCCTTTAACATTTCTTTATTTTTTATTCTTTGGAAGGTAAAAGTCAAATCCTTTAACATTTCTTGCAAGGCAGGTCTACTGGCAACAAATTCATCAATTTTTGGTTTTTTCTTTCTTTTTTTTTTCTTTCCCCTTTGAAGGATAATGCTGCTAGATATAGAAATCTAGGCTGGTGGGTTTGTACTTCCAATACATTAATTCTTCTTGTATGCATCCCTATCCTTGTTCCTCTATAAGCAAAGTGTTCTTTTGGTCTGACTTCTTCCAACTTTTTTTTCTTTTTCTTTGTTACCTTTTCTTTGAATATGACATGTGTAGTTGCAGATATTTTTGTATTTATCTTGCTTGTTGTTTTCTGAGCATTCTAATTCTACAGTTTGGTGTTTATTGTTAATTTTGGGAAATTCGCAGGCATTATACTTAAAATACTTCAAATATTTCTTCCTTTCTCTTTTTCTTCTCATTCTGGCATTCCCATTATGTATGGGTTATACTTTTTGTAGTTGTCCTACAATTCTTGAATTTTCTGTTCCATTTTTAAAATTTATTTTTTTCTTCGCATTTCAGTTTGGGAAGTTTCTATTAACATATCTTTACGTTCATGGATTCTTTCCTTGGGGATATCTGGTCTACTGATAAGCCCATCAAAGCATTCTTTATTTCTGTTACAGTGTTTTTGATGTCTAGCATTTCCTTTGGTAGTGTTTCTATGTCTCTACTTATACTACTCATCTGTTCTTACATGTTGTCTACTTTGTCCATTAGAGCCTACTATAGATTGGAGCATGTGTCCTTGCTCCCCATTCACATGTTGAATACCTAATACCCAATGTGATGGTATTTGGAGGAGGGGACTTTGGGGTACTTAGGTTATGAGGGTTAGGGATTAATGTCCTCATAAGTAGAGAATGAGATAGATCTCTCTCTCTCCTTCTCTCTCTCTCTCTCTCACTCTCTCTGTCTCCCATGTAAAAATACAGCAAGAAGTCAGCCACCTGTCAAACAGGATGAGGGTCCTCACCTAGGACCCAACTATGCTGATCTCAGACCTCCAGCTTCCAGAACTGTGAGGAATAAATTTTTGTTGTTTAAGCCACCCCATCTATAGTATCAATAGTCAGTTATAGCATCCTGAACTAAGACAGAGCGTTTAGCATATTAATTATAATTAAATTCCCAGTCTGATATTTTAGTTCCAAAATTTCTGCTATATTTGAGGTGGATTCTGATGCTTGTTTTGTCTCTTCAGACTGTGTTTTGCCTTTTAGCATGCATTGGAATTTTTTGTTAAAATACAGATGTGATGTATTTATAAAAGAAATTTTGGTTACTGAAGTTTTATGCCTAATTTGGATAGGAGGTAAATTGTGCTCCCTCTTTGTTGTAGCTGTGGGTGCCAGAGACTAAATTTCTTTTCACGTCCTTGTTTTTGTCTCCCCTGTTATCTTTGGGTTTCCCCAGTGACCTCTTCTTAAATAACATCTGAGACAGGCAATTCTTTCTGTTGTATTTCCCTGTTATACAGAAGCTTCACTGGCATGGTAGTAACCTATAGAGAAGAGGCATTCTACAGTTCTCTGGCTAGATCTCTGTCCTTCAGTTGGCCTTTACACATGGACTGTGACCTTCACGAGTGCCTCTCAGCTTTCCCCAGCCCCTCAGGTGAGACAAGAAGGCTGCAGGGCTGGAGTTGTATTTCCCTTTCCCAATGATGAAGGTTAGAAGAGGCTGGAATTGGGTATTTCCCTTACCCCACATGGGTTAGGCCAGTAAAGTAGTTTCCCTTGAGGGCAGGTCTTTGTTAAGGAGAACAGAAGCTCTCAGTGTATTTCAAAATAGTTACCCTCAGCCTACAGGAAGCCTGAGAAAATTTTTCTGTGGTAGTGACAGTGAGAACCTGGTGGGACTCCCGGTGGTGACACTGATGAAAGCATGGGGGACTCCAAGGCTGTGCCCCAGGAGTCTTCATCTCTCAATCTAGTCCATGCTTATTCTTCAGCAGTCAGTCAGTTATCCTTCAAGCATCCAGCTGCTGGCCTCTGTTGGCTCTGCTCCCTGCCAGCTACGATTCTCTGTATTCGCCTGCCTCTCCACGCTTCAGGCTGTGGCTTGCCCTCCAGCCTTAGCTCTGGGGTGGATCTGAAACGACTTCATGATATTCAGAGTCTAGCTTTGTTCTTGTGAGGATGTCAGTGACTCTTATGATGTCAAACTGAAACCAGACGTCTCCCAGTTGTTTTTGCTTCGCACGTTTCATGACACAGAACTTCAATGCCTTGGCAAAATGATGTATCAGACTTTGAATTTACCGTTTTTCCTGGATTTTCCTATTAGTATTGTTAGACAACATCATCTAATGTGGTGACTTGCCTATGTATCTTAAAGGCATTATCAGACACAACATGTATGGGAAAGGTCAAAATCTACACTGGGCTTTCAGTGCTTTACTTCTGAGGGTAGGAAGGAACATCAAGACAGAGGTAGATCTCATCCGATCTTCCCCAAGAAATGACATGGTGGCTTTGATGGAAAAAAAGAGCAAGTTTTCCAGTTCCGCATATGACACCAATTCAATGTGTTACTCTGGATAAGTGATTTAATTTTATTCTGTCTAAATTTCCTCATATAATAATATAAATAACAGCAAAAGCAAACATGTAATGAATGCTTACTATTATCAAGGCACTATTATTAATACTTTCCATATTTTATCATTAAATCCTCAAAGCTCTCTATGAGATGGAAAACCTGAGACACCGAAAGGTTACATAATTTCTGCAAGCTTGCACATCTGGACGTGGTGAGGACAGACTCTACAGCCCTCCTCAGCAACCACCGGGGACAAGGCCATGTGTGACAGAAGTGAAGAGAGTCCTAGGCAGAGGAACGCTAATAAGGAAACTTATTTCTACCTCCAGGTCTTTGCAAAGGGAGAAATAAGTTTTATAATTTTGAGGTCACAAAGAAGGCTAATATGACTGGAGCAAAATAAATAAGGTGAAAATGGGAGAAGATGAGATTAGAGAGAGTTTCTTTCATAACAATAGATAATATTTATCAAGTTCTCTAGTATTATATGCCATTCTAAGTATTGTATATTTGGTTTCTTTTAATCCTCAAACAACACCGAAAGGTCATTCTAATAATTATCATTATTATTGTAATTAATACTATCACCAGCCAAAATGCATGTGACCTAATTTTTTTTTAAACTTCCCAATAATGTATGGGTGAAAAAGAAATTATGAAAATGACAAATATTTTAGATCTGATTTACACTGATCTGAATTTCAAGAATAGGTGATTTGGTACTTTGAGGCAAATAGATAGAAGAATAAGTAAAAAGTGACAATCTAAACAATCATTTAAAGAATTTAGAAAGGCAACAAAGGCTGGGCGTGGTGGCTCGTGCCTGGAATCCTAGCACTCTAGGAGGCCAAGGTGAGAGGATCATTTGAGCTCAGAAGTTGGAGACCAGTCTGGGCAAGAGCAAGACCCCGTCTCTACTAAAAAAAAAAAAAAAAAAAAATAGAAAGACATTATCTGGACAACTAAAAAAAAAAATGTATATATATATAAACAAATTAGCCGGATATGGTGGCACATGCCTGTAGTCTCAGCTCCTCAGGAGGCTGAGGCAGGAGGATTGCTTGAGCCCAGGAGTTTGAGGTTGCTGTGAGCTAGGAGGACGCCATGGCACTCTAGCCAGGGCAACAGAGTTAGACTATGTCTCAAAAAATAAATTTAAAAAAAAGCAGAGCTAAGTAATGCATTAAATAGATAAATCTGGATAAAAACCAAGTGCAGAAACACACCTGGATGATGATAACATTTATGTAAATGTTTAAAATCCTCAAAGCAATATTATAAATATATTTTGGGTGCAAAAATGGTATTAAAAGTATTAAAACATGATGGAAAAGACACAAAACCAACTTCACAATTGTGGCTGCTATTCTGAATGGAGACCAGTATTTATTCTGTTTTCAGGGCATGGGATTCTTGTAGCAAATGGGTAGTGTAAATCTGGACTCCAGATTCATTAGGAATAAAGGTTGAGGTACCCATTTGGGGGTAGGATTTTGTTCTCTTTAACTAAGCTAAGTATTAATATAATCTTCCTTTCCTGCCCTCTGAACCCCCAGGAGGGAGTTTTTCTGGAGCTCTCTGCACTGGAGTTGTTCGCATGCAGGGGTCTCAGTTTCAGCTTCTTGCGTCAGGCAGTCAAATGCCATCTTCCGTTTTAAAAGTCTCCTGTTATTTTTAAAATAGCTTTGTTGAGATATTATAATCCACGTACAATAAATGTCCCTGTGTCCCTTGGAAATTCTACCCCTTGTCTCTCCTTGCCCTCCTGCATTTCCCATCTCTTTTTCCAATCAAAACTGTCCTGATTTCTGTCACTATAAGTTGGGTTGAATTTTTTAGCATTTTATATAAATACATTCATATAGAAAGTACTCTTTTTGTCTGGCTTTATGTAATTATTTTGAGATTCATCTAAATTACAGTGTATATCTATTTTCAGTCTGTTTTATTACTGAGTTGTATTCCACTGCATAGATATGCTATAGTTTACCTATTAGCCTGTTGATGGGCATTTGGGTTGTTTTCAGTTTTGGGCTATTAGATATAAATCTGCTGTAAACATTCATGTATAAGACTTTGTATGAACATATATTTCCTCGTCTTCACACTAAATACCTAGTAGTAGAATGACTGGATTACATGGTAGATGTATATTTACCTCTTTGAGAAACTATCAAACAATTTTCCAAAGTGTTTGTACCACTTTACGTTCCTACCAGCAGCATATGAAAATTTCAGTTCCTCCATATTCTTGACAACACTTGGTGTCATTAGTCCTTTTAATTTTAGCCATTCTAAGAGGTGTTGTAGCAGTATCTCTTAGAGGTTTTCATTTGCATTTGCCTAATAATGTATAATGTTGAGCAGCTTTTCATGTACTTATTTGCCTTTCAGTTATTTTCTATAGTCGAGAGTCTGTTCATGGTTTTTGCCTTTTTAAAAGTTAGATTGTTTTTGTATTGATAAATTGTGAGTGATTTTTAAAAATATTCTGGATCAAAATCCTTTATCAGATATGAACTTTGCAAATATTTTCCACCAGTCTATAGATTGTCTTTCATTCTCTTTACATTGTCTTTTGAAGAGCAGAAGATTTAATTTGGATTAAGTCCAATTTATCAGTTTGTTCTTCCATGGCTTGTACTTTTGACATATTTAAGAATCTTAGCTTCATTCAAGATCAAAAATTTTCTCCTTTGTTTTCTTCCAGACACTGTGTAATTTTAGATTTTACATCAGATATTATGCCCATTTTGAGTTAATTTTTATATTTAGTGCAAAGTATGGCCTAAAGCTCCTCATTGTTTGTCATATGGTTATCCATTTGTTCCAGCACTATTTGTTGAAAGGACTATCCTTTCTCCACTGTCTTGTCTTTGAATCTTTGTTCAAAATCAGTTGTCCTTATATGTGTGGGTCTTTTTCTGAACTCTTCATTCTGTTCTATTGATCTATTAATCTATTTTTACAACAATACCTTATTTTCTTAATTACTGTAGCTTTATAGTAAGTCTTTAAATCAGGTAGTGTTAATCTTCTAAATATGTTTTTCTTTTTTGAAATTGTTTGGATCCTTTATCCTAGATCCTTTTCATTTATACATGAGCTTAAAAATGTTTCTCAATTTATATTCTCCCTTCTCTGCCAAAACTCCCCACATGTACTTTTTCATCTGGTAATGTACTGTATAAAAATCTTTATATATTAACTTCTTCTTCTATTTATGATGAGGTCACTTATATCACACAACCCCTGCTGTCATGAACTACCATAAATTAAAAACAAAACAAAACAGTAATATAACTGTTTGAGGCATTGGGGAACCACAAAGAAAGCCAGGATTTAGGGGACCAGATCGAGACAGACAAGAGCATGAAACCTTAACAGGCATATAATTGGAGTCCCGATAGGAGGGAAGAGAGAGAACAGGACAGAATTGATACTTGAAGAGAGAATGGCTGAGAACTTTCCAAAATAGAAAAAAAAAATCAAACCACAGATTAAAGAAGCTCTATAAACCCAAACCTGGATAAATGGAAAGAAAATTACTCCTAATCCATCATAGTGTAGCTTCTGAAACACCAAATCAAAGATATAGTTTAACAACAGTGACAGAAAATAGGCACATTACCTTCAAAAGAGGTGCATTAAGACAAGAAACCACTTTTTAAATTAGGAATAATAGAAGAAAAAAGAAAGGGAATTTTAAAGCATTGAAAGAAAACAACTGAAAATTTAGAATTTTGTATCCAATGAAATATTTCTTTAAAAATGAAGGGGAAATAAAGAAATTTCAAAACAACAATAGCAGGAAGAGTTCATCACCAGCAGAATGGCATTCACATATTAAGTGAGTTATTTAAACAGAAGGAGAGTGATAGCAGATGGAAGCACAGTAATGTAGAAAGGAATTAGGAAAACCAGAAACACAAATGTGTGTTTGTGTTTGTGTGGTAAATACAGAGGCACACTGCATATTTAAAACAACAACAATACTATTTTGCACAGGTTAAAATATATGTAGATTTAGAGTACGCGTTAATAGTCACACAAAAGAAAGAGGGCAGTAAATGGAGCTTAAGTGTTAAAGAGTCCTTGCATTGTCTGGGAGGTTGTAAAAGTAATAATTTGAAGTAAGTGTTAATAAGTCAAGGATACATATTATAATCTCCAGTATAACTCTAAATGGATAATGAAAGCATGTAGAAATAATAAGTTAATGAAGAAGGAAAAATTGAATAATAGAAAAGTACTTAATCCAAAAGAATGTAAGAAAGAAACAAGAGAATGGAAATCAGACAATGGAAAGAAAGAACAAAGAATAATACAGTAGGGGTATATCCTTGTCTTAGTCTGTTTAGGCTTCTATAATTAAAATAATATAAACTGGGTGGCTTCTAACTAACAGAAATTTATTTCTCATAGTTATGGAGACTGGGAAGTCCAAGATCAAGGTGCTGCCAAATTTGAAGCCTGGTGGTGGCCTGCTGCCTAGGTGGCCGTCTTTTTGATGTGACTCACAAAGCAGGAGGGATGAGGGATGGTTCTAGGGCCTCTTGATAAGGACATTAATCCCATTCTTTAAGGCTCTGCCCTGATGACCCATTCACCCTCAAAGCTCCATCTCCAATACCATCACACTGGGGTTAGGTTTCAATATACAGATTTTGGAAGGACACAAACATTCAGAACATAGCAGTCCACCCTTGGCTTTCCAAAATTCATGTCCTTCTAACATCCAAAGTACATTCATTCCATACTAATAGTCCCCAGAATCTTAACTAGTTCCAGCATCAACTCAAAAATGTGAAGTCCAAAGTCACATTTAAATATCATCTAAATCAGATATGGTTGTGACTCAAGGTACAATTCATTCTAGGGCAAATTGCTCTTCAGATATGAACCTGTGAAACTGGGCATGGTATGTGCTTCCAAAATACAACAGTGGGACAGGAATTTCCCTTTCCATTCCAAAGGGAAAATAGGAAAGAAGAAATGAGTAATAGGTGCTGCCCAAGCCCAAAACCCAACAGGACAAACAATATTAAATCATAAGGCTCAAGAATAATCCTCTTCGTCTTGATGTCCCACCTGTTGGACACACTGGGATGGCAGACCTGGCCCCACAGTTTCGGGCAGCCCCATCCCTGTAGCAGCTCTGTGCCTGGTTGTGCCCTTGCTCCAGGGGGCTGGGGTCACATGCTGGTTGCTCTACTCTACTCTTCTGGGCCAAGGGAGAGGCCTTCCTCCTACAGCTCCCCTGAGCGTCGTCCTAACAGACTCTGTCGTGCGTCTACACCTGCTGGGGCTTTTACACTCTGGGCCTCTGGTGGGAGAGGCAGCCCTGATGATCTCCGAGCTGACTTCCGGGTCATTTTTCCATTGTCTTAGACCATAGGCCTTGGCT